GAGCCGGAGGAGGAAAGTGATGCAAGAGCCGATGATATGAGCACCGTGGTTAGCTCTATGTTGGAGGATGCTGTTCGTCCACTACTGGATGAAATTAAACAACTAAGGGATGAAGTAGTAATGCTTAAGGAGTCGAACATACAGTTACTGCACCTAATCCAGCCCTACCCGATCTTGGGTAATCAAAGTAATAATTATAGAAGCGGCAAAAAGGAGACTTACGCATCAAAAGTGATAAGTGAAAGAACTTCTACAAAAACGGAAATTACACGCGATAGTAAATCTAAAAGTGTGATAGTGGAGATCGAGCCGCCGGCGCTGCATACGAGGGTTTCGCAGAAACAAATCCAACCAAACTATGAAGCACCAGCGCCAGCGGATTGGAATGTGATCAAAAATAAAAAGCGCAATAATAATAAGAGAAAAGTCATCTTTGGAAGCGGCGAAGAGAATAATGATTCACGGGATTTTAGTGCCATTGAAAGAAAAGTGTGGATTCATGTAGGACGAGTTAAATTAGGTACAAGACAGGATGACGTTGAAAATCACCTAGCAAGAAAATTTCCTGGAAAATCATTTACAGTTGAGGAACTTCCAAGGCGGGAAAACGCAAAAAGTGTTTCTTTCGGGGACTTCGACCTGAAAACTGATCTTGAGGATGGAGGAAATTGGCCAAAAGGTACAGCAATACGACGTTTTCATTTTTTTCGACCAAAAACAGAAAAACCAACAAGTGATGAAACCTCAAATAAAGAAACTGACTTACGAGGATCACGTGAAACCTAAGACAAACTTTTACTGGTCCAGGCCAGGGCAAGCTTCCAAAGCCGGAAAATATAGTTTCGGAGGAGGATTGTGCAACATCCTAGATTGTCGAAAATTTTGCATATACTATCAAAATGTGCGTGGACTTAAAAGTAAAATAAAAGACCTTCATTATGCGGTACTATCTGAGGACTTTGCTGTGATAGCTCTCACGGAAACCTGGTTTTATTCTTCAATACAAAATAGTGAATTGTTAGATGAGTACATTGTTTATAGAAATGATAGAAACAGTGATAATAGTAGAAAGAAACTTGGAGGCGGTGTTCTTCTAGGCATCAATAAACAATTAAAATCTGTCCTGCTGGATACTACAAACTCTTCCGTGGAAGAGATATGGTCAAGGTATTTTGTGGAGTACGTGAGGTTATAGCTGGTTGCGTGTATTTACCTCCCCGGTGTGATATTTCAAAGTTTACTAGTCATGTGCAAAATCTCGAAAACATTTGTAAAAATAATAACTGTGATGTCATTGTTCTTGGCGATTTTAATTTACCCATAATTGCTTGGGAGGTACATAGTGATTGTTATGGATTTATTCCTTCAAAAATTAATCTGCCTAGTGAAATATGCATCTGTGATAATTATTCTAGTCTTTCCTTTATTAAATTTAACAACATAAAGAATATCTATATCAATATTTTAGATCTATGCTTCTCGAATTGTAGTGATCTAATTATTTCACAATGCTGTCCATTATTAAAACTCGACCCATGTGTAGAATTCTCATCACTCAAACAAATAGCCCTGATCAAAATATTATTATTACTCTGATCTAAGAAATATTTCCTAAGTGAGGAAATTTGTCTACAATATAAATTAAGTAAATTCAAAAAACCACGCCCTCCACTTTCTCTTGATAAAGAAAATCTTTCAATGGATGATTTTGGATGGTGTTTTCTAAACTGAGTAAACAGTGTTCTGATTTTGATATTAATGTTATTAATATCTGTTCTTGTCCATTTAATGACTCCAAATGAATAATCTAATACTGGTATTGCAAATGTATTTATAGCTTTCATAAGATTTTTTGAGTTTAATTGAGTTTTAAGCAATTGTTTAGACTTCATTATGAAACTATCTACCAGTGTTTTTTTAATATTACTATGTGATATTTTATTTGACTGTTTGAAACCTAAGTATTTATATAAATCATTAATTTTAAGGCTTTCAATATTTTCARTATTTTCAGTCAAATAATTTAAATTTATAAAATGACCTTTATTAATTGCTAGGAGTTTACATTTATCTACTCCAAAAGACATACCGATATCTGAAGAGAAATTCTCTGTTAATTTAAGTAATAATTTAAGTTGTTTCTCAGATGTAGCATATAACTTAATATCATCCATATACATTAAATGGCTCAACTTAGCTACAACCCTTTTATTGTGTTTTAAATTGAATCCATAACCAGAAGAATTTAAAATATTGGAAAGCGGATTTATAGCTAGACAAAACCATAAAGGACTAAGTGAATCACCCTGAAAAATGCCCCTTTTAATTTGAATGGGATCTGTTTTTAAATTATTGTTTTCTAAAGTTAAATTTAATGTAGTTTTCCAAAAATTCATAATATAATTCAAGAATTATTATTATTATTATTTGACCCGGCAAAAGAAGTAGAAACCATTTGACAGACGGTTGTGCAAGACATAAATCCCTGACAAATAATTTCCACAACCTTTACACTCCACTGACCCGGCGGTTTAGACCTGCAGTCAGGCAAGATTCACCATTACGGATATTGCTATCAAGTAATGATGTTGATGAATTGTTTGAAATGAGATTAATGTAAGAAAAACCCCCTAAATTTCCCAATCTAGCGTCACTACAGATCTTCCGCCTCGCAACTTAATGAATTACTATTAATTAAATTATTATTTATGTTATTATGAATTTCGTTAATATTGAGACATTTCCTAACAATATTACAAGTTTTTAAGAGGACTGCTTTTTGAATCTCAATAATTAAATTTGAATTTAATTTTAAAAGTTCAAGATTAACTTTTAAATTATTTGGTACTACTCCAATTGCGGAAATGATTATCGGTACTATTCTGACCTTTTTCATGTTCCACATGTTTTTAATTTCATTAGCAAGGATCATGTATTTAGAAATTTTTGTTTGATAAGTCTTCTGGATATTGTGAGTGTTTGGAACTGCAATATCAATTAAAAATGCATGTTTTTCAGTTTTAGAAATAAGAATAATATCTGGTCTATTAGCTGTTATATTCAAACTAGTTAAAACTGTTCTGTCCCAATAGAGTTTGTAATTATTATTTTCTAGAATCGAATCTGGTTTATATTTATA